TCGCCCACAGGGACTGCAGGCCCCATTCACCTCAACACTGACACCGTCTGGATGGAAGTAGAAATGAACCTCCTCGGCCAGTGGGCTGAACCCAGAGCCATTTAGCTGGTGATCAGTCATGACCCCTGGCTGCTGGGCTATTTTAAAGGGTTTAACCCTATGGCTTGACAATGGGGAATCGAGAAGCGGATGATAATGAATAAGCACTTGTGGGGTCAGGATATGACGAAAGACATTTGGATTTGCTTGCAAGCGCCTGAGGCTGTCCTCAGATGTGGATGTTTTCCACGTCTCCGATATCCCCTGGCAACCGGGAAAGAGGCCCTAGCCCAGGTATGTGCCCTACCAACTGGCCTTTCAGTGGATACAGCTGACTGTGTGCACAGAGAGTGGGGCCACCGTAGTACGTGGGTGGGATGGGGTATTGCCAGGGATGCTGGATTGCCTTTGACATACGGTGACTTGGTTAATGCATTAACAGTGTGTCCTGGTGGTCTAAACACCTCAGGCCAGTACCAAAGGAGCCTGGAGCTGCCCACCAGAGTTCCCAACTGGTGAGGAACCGACAAATTGACAATATGGGCTCTCCTTCTGAGTGAGGGTTTTCTTGGTTTGTATGGACACTGGGTCTGGCCTAACCCAAGCTTTCCCCTGCCGCCATGCAAACCAGACTGCCACTGTCTGGGGACTGGAGAAGCTGAGCACCATGTACGGATACACTCATCAGACAATGATCAGAAGTTCCATTTTAAGGATCATGATGTGCTTGTTTGGACAAAACAGGAAACACGGGGTAGGGGTTCCATCTCTCCCAACTGCGGGTGGCAGGGATGATAGAAAGGAAAAATGGAATATTAAAGCAGCATATTAAATCACTAACAGATAAAACAACCTTGGCCAGGCGGACGACTGTCTCAGGCTTGAATACATCTGAATGAGCAGCCAGTAGGGCCTACTGCCCCATCTGGTTCCTGTTGAGCTCCCTGTTGAGACACCCAACATTGCAAAAGTATGGAAGTCAGGGGAGACAGCCATCGCCCCAACTCTCACTCTGCATCAGTGTGCTATGCTGCTCAAATCACCAAGCCCATCACACTTGGGAAAGGAGTTATATACTAGAATTTGCAGTGGGACATCCTGCCAGGATGGATGAGTTACTTTGCACCTCTGGGTTTTGGGGAATGATTCAGTTTCCACTAGGGTCCTATTGTCCTCCTGCAAGCCAGACCTATTGAAATGCACCATACCTGGAAGAGAACATGTGCCTTTGGAAGAGGGGAGAAGCTGGGCATCCTGTATGGCATGTCCCAGCCTCCCAGTCCATCTCCTCATGCCTGGCAGTACTGCCTCCCCTGGCCAACATGTCTGGTACTTACAACCAGGTCAGGTTCCTAAAGCTGCAGCTGCATTAACATCTAAGGATCCAGGCCGTAAGTGGGATTCTTGTAGAAGGACAAGAACTCCCCATACACAGTCCTACTTAATATTTATCTTTCCAATCCTAAACTTCTGCTGTTCCAGTGGTGTCTGTGGTATGGGCATTTGATGGAAATACCTTTCTGTAGTGGCCCACTTGAATGTCCGGCAAAGGAATCAGTCCAGCTGTTGCGTATGTGGGCAGCTGGCCCTCTAGCTCATTGGGAGTGCCATGGTGGGTGCCGCCACTCTGGGGGGATTAGAAGGTGCCAGAGCAGTACAGTAAGGAAGCACAAGCTAGGACTAGTGTTCTTGGTTCATCTGATACGACCAGTGTTGATCCAGAAGTCTGGCCTGCGGCACACACTATCAGTGACACTGGGGAAGGAGATTCCTTGTCAGTTGGTGATACAGGCAGCCCATTAAATGACTGGCCAGAGGGTTCTAAAAACACCAACCACAGAGCCCTGATAGGTGGCACTCAGATTTGGTATCGGCTCATGTGGCCTACCTCAGGTTACCGATTTTGAGCATTTGTGCACCCCAGTGTTGGGAACAGAAAAACCACTAAACAGAACCACCCCAACTGTATCAGGGATATGGGACAGCCATTTCATCACACTAAAGGATTGTGCAACTGGTTTGACACTCACTCATCACACCGTCCAAGTATTTACTGGACAATGAGGCCCATTGGCTGTGTGGCACAAATCTTTGGCTGTGGTTTCCACCTGGATGGTTGGACTCCTGCACCCTGGATTTTCCTTGGGCTCCGTGGAGATTCTGTCCCACAGTAACAAGTTGCCAACCTCCTTCCCCTCAAGGTCAGATGGGCATGCTCTTATTTTCACTGGCATGATCATTTGGCCACCATCTTTGTTCCCTCCATTGGTCTGGAGGACATTACAGCCCACAGAGAAGCCCTTACTAAATTCACCCAGCAAGTCTTAAATGATAGCCAACACAGCCTGTCCTCCTGAACACTGAAATGTCTGCAATGAGAAAAGCTATCCTGCAAAATAGAATGGCTTGGACATTATTGCCTTACAAGGAGGCACCTGTGCCATTATCCAAGTAGAATGTTGTGTGTTCATATCTGGTGAGTATGCTAATATTTTATTATCAAAGCACATGAGGACACATGTGATCCACCCTGAATACCTGACCCCAGTTTAAGGGACTGTTGGGGAAGGTCACTGAGATGTGACCGTTGACCTATGTGCTGGACCCCCAAAATTGGAGGCTCCTCACACCTTTCCCTGTCCTTGAAATGTGAGTTCCACTTGCCTTTTCCGCTTCCAGAGGCTGCCTCAAGGACAGCCTTGAGATAGCCTTGAGACCATCTGGACAGTGTCTGTGAATAAACCCAGTTAAGCCTGCTATTTGCACTTCTAAGATTTGGCTGGTGGGTGTGGAGATCTATTCGCCTGGTGGCTGCCCAAGACAAGCCTTGTATGTAAGTTCCCTGCTTATTAATGCTGCTACTTTCCAATCTGGAGTGGCCTGCTTCCTTCTTTGGTTCACCCCTGCTCTGGGAGTATGGGGGCTGGTTTCAGATTATACCTGGGAAGCTCCTGAGTATCTTGTGAACCAACAGGGACTTAATAAATCAGTGGTTTGGATCATGGAACTCTTGATGGAACAAAAGTTTATTTATTTTGTGAATCATTTTGATCTGTGTTTTCTCTTGCATGTACCTACATTGTTGCTGTAGTATCTGCCTCCAATGCAGCCAGAGAGCTGCCAGATGGGCCGCCTCTGCACTAATGAAACCCCCGGCTGAAGACTCAGGGCACATTGTGGAACAGGAGGAAAGGGTAGAATTCTAAGAGCTGGTCACAAGGGGTGGAGTGTTAGAGAGAAGGTCATGGAGAGGACATGACCATCAGTTGACCCTCCAAGTAGACATGGGCAATCAGAGGCTTCTTATGCTCCCCTGCTCTTGAGATGTATGTTACACCCGCCATTCCCACAGTGGGAGCCATTATTCAAAGATACAGCCTTGAGATAGTGTGATACAGTGTTGAGACCATCTGGATGGTATATGTGACTGAATCTAGTTAAGGCCCCCATATAAACTTTTAAGATTTGGTGGTGGGCAACATCTATTTGTCTTGCAGATGCACAAGACAAGTCTTGTATCCAAGTTCCCTTTCTTGTTAAAACTGCCCCCTACCCATTTGGAGGTGTCTGCCTCTTTCTTGGTTTCTCCTTGGTGTTTTGGGGGCCAGTTTCAAATTTCACCAAGGGAACTCTGAGGTTACAAGCCAACATTCCTCCTAAGCAGTGGGAATAATAGGGGTACTGCAAGGTACACCCATTATTTGTTCACTTCTGTATTTCATTATTGGGTCCTCATGTCCAGGATGTTTGTTTCTTATGGGCATTGACATTTTAATTTCATATAATTCTTACATGTCACTATTCCTTTGATTCTGCCCCATCCCCAACCACTTACAAATATAAAAACCGTTCTGAGCTCACTGGTCGTACAAAAAACAGGCTATGAAAAAGTGACATGACTGGAACCATTTTAAATGGAATTGGCATACCACTGGAGAGAAACTGCCCTTGTGTGAACTGGGCCAAAACTTTTGGACTGGGCAAAATGGCAACTGCTTTAAGCAATTGTTTGATAAGTTATCGGGAGAACAGACATCCTGATCACAAGCCTGATGGCTGTGGGCTTTCTGAAGACAGAACCAGTAGTCAGTGAATTCGTACAACCAGAGTAGGGTAGCTAGTTAACATCCATAGAAAAACTCTTTTTTGTCTTAACTCATAATTGCCCTTCTTCCTTTTCTTCATAAAAATCCCTTGCTTTCACCCTACAAGTAGGACACCATTTGCATATCCACCTGAATCTGTTCTTCAACTGCAGTTCTAAGACTTCCAAATAAAAGGGGTTCTATTCTTTTTTATTCATTTGCACTTTGCCTCTTTTTCTCGGTTGACAGGCCAAACCATGATAGTGTGGAAAATGGGAAAAAATAGAAAGGTAGATAATATTCTATTTACTGATTTTCCATATTTTCCCCATGAGGGGTGTGAAAGCATGTTACCATACATATTAAATACTTTTATATCTCATTTTTAAAAACTATCTGTGAACAAGTCCTCAAATTTTACCAAGAATTCATGGCTCATGGTGGTCTCTATCTACCTATATACATATTATATATATATATATATCCTCATTTAAAATAACTAGAATTGCGGGTTTTCATATTTCTCCTGCCTAAATTGCTTCGGAAACACCAAGCCAGTCTCCGGTGGAGACGCTAATACCGCAAGGAATTCTGGGGAACGTAGTTCTAATTTCCAGCACGGGAAGCACCCCTTCCCACAACATTCCCCTCCCACACCCCATCCCCACACACACCCCGCCCGGCGCTGAGCAGGGGCACTTCCGGCAGAAGGTTCTGGGCGTGGGAAGGAATGGAAATAATTTTCCGCAAACGTCGTTCACTGGCGCCTCTGGGCGACGCGTGAGGGGCGTGGCCCAGCCTCGCAATGCGATTGGTCGACAGCTCTCTGAGCACGCGCGCACGGTGCTTCCTGGACCCACACGCCCTCGCAGGGCAGTCTGGAAGTTGTAGTTCGGTCTACTGCCCGAACTCTGCCGTCGGGCGGCTGCTCGGAGGTCCAAGGCAGTCCACCGCCTTCGGCGCTTGGCTCGGAGAATGGATCCGGAGCCGGGGACCAACGCAGCGCCGCTGACTGGCTTGGCCTGGTCGTCGGCCTCGGCACCCCCGCCGCGGGGATTCAGTGCGGTAAGCGACTTCGCGGACCGGGGACGAGTTCGGCGAGAGGCGGCGACTCCAGGTGGCGGGGGTTGAATGGGGACGGAGGAGGCCGTGGCATGGCAGGGTGGTGACCTGGTGCTGACACACATCCGCTCCGTAGATCTCCTGCACCGTGGAGGGGGCGCCCGCCAGCTTCGGCAAGAGCTTCGCGCAGAAATCTGGTTACTTTCTGTGCCAGAGTCCTTTGGGGAGCCTAGAGGTAAGGGACGCCCACCTTCAGAATGCCGGGGTTCACCCACTGCCTCCGTCCATTCGCGGAGCCCTACCCAGGCTCTCCATTTGCTGGGTGACTCTGTGTCTCCTCCGCCCCCATAGAATCCTCAGGAGAATGTGGTGGCCGATATCCAGGTCCTGGTGGACAAGAGCCCCCTCCCAGCGGGCTTCTTCCCGGTCTGCGACCCCCTGGACTCCAGTGAGGCCCGCGTCAGAGGCGGGGGGTGGGGATCCGCGTTCGCGTCTCTGCGGGGAAGACCATGGAGGGGGTTGAGGGACCACAGGCGCTCTTTCTCTGAGCCTAGGCTGCCCGCTCCGTGCATTGGGTGATGATAGGCTTATCTGAACGCTGTTCTAGGGCGACACCTCGCCTGCATAAAAATGTGCGATTGGCACAGTTTCTGCCCTAGAGTATGAATTGCAACCTCTTTTATTAGTCACTACCACATCTCCTTGCACTGAAGCCAAGTTGAGCCACACACCATTTCGAGGCTTTTTCATTCTCTTCTGACTCCCATAGCCCTGGTAGCCCTCCCAGCCCTGACTCCTCTGCTTTCTAACAACCTGTCTCCCCCTTTCACAGTAGTAGGTCATTGGTGTTTGACTCTTGGGGTATATCTATTGATACTGAAGTTGGCAAACTTCTGTCAAGAGCCAGATAGTAAATATTTTAGGCTTTGAAGGCCAGATAGTTTCTGTTGCATGTTTTTTTTTGTTTCATATCCCTTTAAGAGTGTGAAAACCATGAGCCCTACAAAACAGACTCGGGGCTTGCTGGCTCCTGGACTAAAGGAGGAGGAAAAGAGATTTCCAGGGCCAGATGGGACCCAGTTCTGTCTGACTACACAGCCTGCCACCTTTGTGCTGGTGCCATGGCCACCCCATGAGTGCTCCTCCATGGCACCAAAGACGAGCCTGCCCCAATGGCTCTTTAAGATTGCATGGAGTCTCCTCCTATTGCTATGCTGCTTATGATTGAACCACCACAATAATGCCATCCAGGCGGCTGCCTTACACAGTGCCCTGGTAGCATCATCCTAGAGCTGTGTTTGGGTCCCTTCCCTGCTTCTTCTACATTTTCACTTCCCTGTCCCCTCCCCCTGCACCCCCAGAGGCCTCTGTGTCCAAGAAGAAACGCCTGTGTGTGAAGCTGGTGCCTCTGGGGGCTGCAGACACAGTTGTGTTTGACGTGCGGCTGAGTGGAAAGACCAAGATGGTCCCTGGATACCTGCGAGTAGGGTAGGGCTGCCCCCCCAGCTTCCAGCCTCCTCTGTGCCTTCCAACTCCCGTTTCTACCCCTCTGACCCTCAGAGACTCCCAAATCCTCCTGTCCCTTCTGCCACCAATCTGTGCCTCAGTTTACATGTTAAAACAGGGGACAGCAGTACTGATCTTGCAAGGCTGTTGTGAGCAGTATATGGGTTGATGTGTCTAAAGTGCATAGCACGGTAGTCAGACCCAGCAATGGTAACTAGTGTATTGCTTAGGTGTGGGGGAGATGCTGGAAGTTCCCCTGCAGGGCAGGGCTCACCAGAGGCTAGGTTCCTCTTTCCTTCTGCCAGCTCTTCTCAGCCCTGGCTACACGTTGGGCCAGGACTCCTCCCCACTTTCCTCTTCTTTTAGGGACATGGGTGGCTTTGCCATCTGGTGCAGGAAGGCCAAGGCTCCAAGGCCAGTCCCCAAACCACGAGCTCTCAGCCGGGACATGCGGGGCCTCTCCCTGGACCCACCTGCTGCATCCAGGTGAGTCCTGGGGCTCTGGAATGAGGGACGTTATGGGGGTGGTATCAGGCCTTACCTGGGCTGTTGCACTGTCACCAGCAAGGGCAGCTTGCCGGAGCGGTCGCTCTCGAGGCTGGGCTCTCGGGCATCTACTCTGCGGAGGAGCGACTCCATCTATGAAGCCTCCAACCTCTACGGCCTCTCAGGTGGGTGCAGAGTGGGAAACTGAGGCCCTGGGGGTGGGGAGCGTGGAGGTGACTGGCCCAAGGTTGTAGATTCGGAAGGGGTGGGGAGACCAGGTCTGGCCCTGTCTTGCGGGGCCTTCAGGGTGGGCCTCTGGGGCACAGTGGGCAGCGGGCTGGCGTCAGGTCTCCTGGGCTGCAGCTCCTCTCTCCTGCCACTTTCCTCAGCCATGGATGGGGTTCCCTTCACGCTGCATCCCCGATTTGAGGGCAAGAGCTGTGGCACCCTGGTGAGTCCGGGGCCCCTGGGAGCCTGGGTCTACCACTGCCTATTGCCTTTCTAGGTGCCAGGATGCAGGGAGTACCATCTGTGCGCTTGGCACCCCAGCACAAGGCCCACATTCCTGGGCTGGGGAAGGGGAGCAAAGAGAGGGCTGGAGGGTCTCTGTCCAGAACAGGGGGTTTGGGAGGAGCAGCTGGAGTGGGGGGCGCTGGTGGCTGTGACAGGAAGTGGGAGGGGGTTCAGGCAAATATTGAGGGGGCATTCCTTGAAGGTGAGAGAGTGGGGGTTCCAGGCTAGGGTCCCCCGCCCAAGACTGACCTGCCCCTGCCCACCAGGCCTTCTCTGCCTTTGCGGATCTGACCATCAAGTCGCTGGCAGACATTGAGGAGGAGGTGGGTGCTAGGGCCAGGAGGGTTTGCTGCACCCCCACCCCCCCACTCCCCACTGCCCTCGTCTCTCCCAGCCACACCCCACTTCTCCTGGGACTGAAATCGCTTAGTCCCTAATTTTCCCACCCCGATTATTCCTCCGGCGCTCCCTAGGCCCCGCCTTCACTCTGTTCTCTCTTCTCCACCCCACCCCCCAGTACAACTACGGCTTCGTGGTGGAGAAGACAGCGGCTGCACGCTTGCCTCCCAGCGTTTCATAGCCCCTCACCTGTCGCAGGGAAGAGCCCCCTGCCTGGCACCCCTGGCCTGGCAGCTGCCCTGCCCCACCCGGTCTTGGGGCCTCAGGCCTGGAGGGCATGCCGGACCTTTGGCCTCCCTGCCGAGCGGCAGCCCTAGCGGAGGGGCGGAAGCAGGCTGCCTGGTGATGGGGTGCCCCACCCCTGGACTCTGCAGGACAGGGGCGGTAGCTGGATGGAAACCAGTGCCTTCAAGTCATTCGTGTCAGAGCTGTTTGGTGCCCGGAGGCCATGTGGCTGTTCTCCTGGCAATAAATAGAAACTTGTCCCGCAGTTTGGAGTCCTGACCCTGACTTGTGGTCCTCTGGGGCACTCGGTCTCCATTCACACGCGGAGCACAAGCAAGCAGGTGAAATCCCGAACCGGAGGTGGAGCTGCTGCCACGTGCATTCTGTAGAGGGGAGTCCGAGGCGCAGCCGGGACTCCGAATCACGGAGGAGACCGGGGCTCACCGTCCGTCGCCGGGCGTGACAGTGATGATAGCCTCAGCTACCGTTTATGTCAGGGTGGACAATGTCCCCTGAACCTGATGTGTCCCTGTATCAGTAGCATTACCCCAACCTATTGGGAAGCCCCACTTTTGTTACCGTTTTACAGATAGAAAACTGAGGTAGAAGGCAGCCAAAGTCAAAGCTGGGCTTTGAACCCAGGGCCTGCGCTCTCAGCCACCAAGCTGTACTGTGCCTCCCTTTTCCTGTACTGTGGGGTTGATGCATGTGGTCAATTCTCTTTATTCACAGTAATCATGTTCTATAAAGTTGCAGCGACCCGAGTTAGGGAATCCTGGATTCCTTGGGAAACATGGAGAGTTTCCTGCAAGCCTTTGGTTGCACTTTTGTTAAGTGATCAATACATAACCTTGTTTTATGTGTGTTTCAGGACACGTTGTTTAATATATTCTGTTGATTTATTAACATTTAACTTGCGGCCAACAGTATTCTAAACAGACTGCAACAGGGTACTCGTTTAGAGACTGAGAGCTGGAACAAGAAGGCAGACATCTTGTTGCACCTCAGCTGGGAGCTGGGGCATCAGAGACTCAGGGGCTTCCCTGCCCTCTGTGTGTCCTTAGTGACCATGAAAACACTGCGAGTATTGCTTTGGGGGTTACAAATAAATTTTAGCCAGTAGGAAAATTTTCAGATAGGGAATCTGAGTAATGAGGGTGGGCGATTTGTCTTTCTCCCATGTGAGTGCTGCATTCACGCTCTCTCTTCCCTGGGTCCCCAAGCCTCGGGGCGGCCCAGGGCCTGCTGCAGTGAGGAACATCCCTGGTCTCTGTAGCTGAGAAGGACGGAAGCTTATTTCTTACCCACACTACGCCCATGGCAGGGCAGCAGAGGACACTGCTGGTTGTGGTCTCAAGCCCCCCTGGAGGGCAGACACCGTCTCTCCATGACAGCGCACACAGACTCAGTGGGGTCTGCTGTCAGCTAAATGCCCGGGCCCAGAAGTAGCTTGTCAGTGCTCACAGCTCATGGGCTGAATGAGTCCCACAAGGCCCCGGCAGGGATGCACCACCCGCCCAGCCACTTGGCTCTAACACCATTGTGCTGAGAGTTTGATGGGGGACAGACAGCCCTGCCCTGGGAGTCTGAGGGGAGAGACAGCTGTCCTGGAAGGGTGGGCAGGGGGAGACCTGCCAAGTGTACTCCTCCCCCCTGTACTTCAGTTGTCTGGGGACAAGAAGGCCTCTGGTGCTGAGACATCTCCCTGCATGTCCCCACTCTGGGCACGGCCCGCACCGCCAGGTCCCGCTCAGGCCACTCTGGCGCCGTCTGTGGAATCCAATCCAGCTGGGAAGCAAAGGGCTGTTTGTGTTCCCTCGTCACCTTCTTGGCCACCCCGAAACCAGCTCTGGATCACTTTTCAGGGCATCCACATCTGACCAGGGGCCCCCAGATAATCTGACCAGGCCTTGAATCTGACTGAATTAGCCACCATTGCCAGGCCACTACCTCTGCAAAATGCCAACCCTCCGAGAACCACAGCATCTGGGGACAGCGTTAGAAGGCACAGGGGAGTCCCCGTGGGGATTGTCCCCACCAACTTCTGACTTGGGCCACCTCAATCCTACCATCTGTGGCTGAGCTTACATCACCTCAGGCTACAGAGGAGGGGGTTGAAATCTAATCCTTCCAGCCTTTTGCTTGCTCTATACCTCAGTTTCTTCAGCTTTACAATGGACATCTCAGTGTTCTTCATCTAACAGGGTTGTTTGGAGGAAGAACACAGGTGGGGCTTTCTCTCCAACACTCTATTGACTTGCAAAAATGCTTCCTGCCTCTGAAAGACCTTCCCAGCTGGCAGGTTTCTGCAGCCTGATGTCCAAGCAGGGTGGATGGAGGATGCAACCTCCAGTAGCCTCTGCTAGTGACAAACCCCACACTTCCTGTATTAAAATATTGCAGAAGCTCTCCCTTGCTCCAGATCAGAGCACCAACCTGTGCCAGCCTTAAGCATCCCCTTGACTACACTTTCAGCCAAGACACCCCCCAACCCAAAGCTACTGGTTTCTATTGCACCATTCATTTTGCCTGCTCTTCAACTTGATATAAATGCAGTGTCCTAATTGTAAGATAAATTTTAGCCGAAATAAGCAGGCAAAGAGAGGCAACAAAGGGCCAGGTAATTTATTTAAATACCCCCAGGTGAGGTTCTGTGGCCTTCTTGTCACAGGCCAGAGAAGTCACACCTGGTTGGGGATGTGGGGGGGCTTATAAGGGATTAGTAGGGGGAGGAGTGGGCAAGCTATCTTAGGGGGTGTGGAGAGATATGACTGGTTAAAGGTGACATAATAGACAACTAGAAACTTTTTTTACTTCCAAGAGGGAGGAGGCTGACATCCGGGTCTTAGTTGGCACATCAGGATGGAATTCAGGGAGAGCTGTCCCTTTTCCATATACGGTACGGACTTTGGGGTCTGGTCTGTTCTCCCCCTATGGCATCTCTCTGTTCTGTTTGCATGTCCTTGTTTTTCCTTTCTTCAGCCTAACACTAATGAGTCCTCTTCTGAGCCTGGCTAACCTGTTCAATATTATGCCTGTGATACTCATCCAAGGTGTTGCCTATATTAGTAAGTCCGTTTTCATTGCTGAGTAATAGTCCACTGTACAGCTGTACTGTCTGTTAACCAGTTCACCTGTTAGTGAACATTTGGCTTGTCCTCAGTTCTTGGCCACTGAGCAGAATCACTCTGAGCACTCTTGTGTATGTATTTTGATGAATATACACTCACTCCTGTTGAGTAAATACCCTGAGCATAGATTCTGGGTGTTAGGACAGGTCCGTGTTCAGCTTTAGCAAATATAGCCAAGATTTCCAAGGCCATTGTACCAGTTGTTCCTCCCACCCCCAGCGAATGAGAGTTCCAGTGGCTCTATGGCTTCACCAACACTAGGTGTTGTCAATTTCATTAATTTTGACCATTTATCTCCCCAGAGTTTGAAATTCTTAGTTATATTGTACACTCTTGCCTGCTTAGGAATCTGAACTGGAAAATTGATGATCATGCTGTGTAGAAAACTGTCCCTTTCTCATCTTGATTATCCACCTGCCTTTTCAGTCTTTGTACAGAGTCTGCAGATAATTTATGAGACATTAGGTAGCTTTCGAGCTAATCTCCAAAGATCATGGGGTCCTGGTGTTCAGGGCTGTGTACTCTTCTCCCAATAAGTGTGGGCTGGACCTGGTAACTCATTTCCAACCAACGGAATATAGCAAGGAAGATGGGGTCACTTCTGTGATTAGGTTATAAAAGACAGTGACTTCTGTCTTGTTGCAGACTCTCTTTTTCTGGCTTGGATGAATCACATTGTCCTACAAAGAGGTCCACATGTCACAGACCTGAGGGCAGCCTCTGGCCAACAGCCAGCAAGGAACCGAGGACCTCACCTCCACAGCTCACGAGGAACTGAATCCTGCCAACAAACACCGAGTGAGCTGGGAAACAGACCCCACCCCAGTTAAGCCTTGACGTCTGAAAGGGAGGATTCCGTTTGAGCCATGCCCAGATTCCTGATTCTCAGAAACTGTCAGATGATAAATGTGTGTTGTTTTGAACTGCTAACTTATGGGGTAAACTTGTTATGCAGCAAGAGCTATTTAATGCAAATGAAGAGGATGTCTAAGTCAGTGAGAAAAAATGTGCTGGATTTTCAGGTAGCATTTATATGATTCATGCTACATTTATCCAAATAAATTCGGTTTTGCTTCTCAGGTGGAATTCTGAAGCTAAGTTTCGATTTGCATGGTACCTAGAACCATCCTGAAGGTGGAGGGCTCATGAGACCCCTCAAAATTCTTATTTCACCCAAGACATGTTTTAAAGGATGTTAATAAAGTGTCTGTTGGAGGCAGTGGGCCCACGTTTGTGCTGAGCAGTTTCCTTCAAGGTGGCATCTGGCCTTCTGTCCTACGTGTCACCAATACAGAGGACCCCATCTCTGTTCTGCCGCCTTCAGAAGATTTTATGTGCAGAAGTAAGACCAGTTGTTGTGTGGAGGGGACGGCAATGGTGATATCTGTGTGTTAGATGGGGTCTCGGACACATGGTGGGCATCCAAAAATCAACAGCTTTTCTCAACCACAAATAATGCATTTAAATGCTTGCAATATCCCATTTATGCCTGCTGTGGCAAATGTTGCAAAAATGCAATGCAGGTGGAGCAGATGTTATTTGTGATTCCTTCACCCTCCACTTTCATCACATTATGAAGGTCTCTCAGAGCAATTACCTGCAACCGTGCCTGGGGCCTCCAGGGGCCACAGGTGGATGTCCAGCTGAGGCACAGGGAAGGCCAGTAGTGTGAGGGGCTAATCCCTCCAGAAGCAGCTGTCAGCCAATGACCGCTGGGTCTCAGAGGATAAGCACCCCAAGGGTCCCCAGCAGCATGGCACCCCAGAAGCCCACGGTGCTGTCTGCTCATTGACACCCCCTGAAGGGCTCCTGGGCTCACTGCCCACATAAGTGAACCACATCCCCCAAATCATCTTAAGGTCTAGTTCTGATGACCCCCAAATCAAGGTAACATCTTTGATAAATATTGTCCATACCCTAAGGGGCACCAGGATGCCCACAGCTGCATGGGTTTGCGAAGCCTCTGGAATTAATGGTGAGGTTGATACCCTTTGCAATTTGGTCCTCGTAGCTGTGTTTGGTGGGGTGGAGGCTCCCCTGTTATACAGAAGGACACTGAGGCGGCAGGTCCCATGACTCATCACTGAGCCTGATCTGTCCTGGCCCCTGGGATGCCAAACCCTCATCAGGTGTCCAGGGTGGGGAGGGACCTGGGCGCTTGGCCCCAGCCCCAGGCCCAGCCTCTGTCCCTCCTTGCCTGAGATACAAAGGTGCTTGGTGATGAGGAGGGCAGGTTTCAGTGGGGACTGTGGGCAGTGCTCCCAGCTGGCCTCCTAAGTTGGAGCCTTGAAGAGCTTCCAGGTCTCCAGTTCTGGGTCCCAGGAGGTCTGACAGGGATCAGATTGGGGTGAAGCAGCGAGCAGACTGGTGCTTTTTCCCTGTAGCAAACTGACAGCGAGCCCCTCCTTAATTAACCTTCTTAAAAAATTGAGGTAAGCTTCACATAACACAGAGGTCACCATTTTAAAGTGTGCATTTCAGTGTCATTTAGTGCACTGGCTATGTTGTGCAGCCACCACCTCTGTCTAGTTCTAAAACATTCCCATTCCCCCCAAAAGGAGACACTCGCAGTCCCCATGAGCAGTCACTCCTCACCCCCATCAACCATGGATCTGCTTTCTGTCGTTATGCATGTGCCTGTTCTGGACGTTTCATATACATGGGATGATCATACGACGTGTGGCCTTTTGTGTCTGGCATCTCGCTCAGCATGATGGTTTCAAGGTTCACTCACATTGTAGCGTGTGTCAGGGCTTCATTCTTTTTATGGTTGAGTCATATTCTACTGTATGGCTGGGCCACTTTCTTTTTAATCATGCATCTGTTGATGGATATTTGGGTCATTTCCACCTTTCGATGATTGTGACTAATGCTGCTGTGAATGAGTGCAAGGATTTGTTTGAACACCTGTTTTAAATTCTTTTAGGTCTACTTATATTTGGCACCCTAGTCCTGGCCCTGGGGATGATGCCAGGAGATGACTGGTCAGGGGCTTTTCCCTCCCTGCCCTCATCTCTCCTCCACCTGCAGAGTCCCTAGGGCCTGGCCCATTCCAAGCAGTTCTCAGAAGGAGGCTCTGCTGTTTATCAGGCACCCGCTTCTTCAGGCAAACCTGTGCACTGGGGACATGGGATTCCACTCATTGGCACCATGTGGCCTCACTTCTTGGGCCTCAGTTTCCCCATTTGTAAGTGGGGTAGTCCTGAAGGTTAACTAGCAGGCATGTAATAAAGATGTGATATTTATTTGTATCTTATCTTGATTGTTGACATGGGTCACACCCAACAAGGTCCCATGCTTACCGGGTGCTCCATGTGTCAGGCACCACGTGGGGCACTCAACTCATGTATGTCACCTCTTCATCCCAGTCCCCAATGAAGAGGAGGTCTGTGCAGCTTCCCGGGGCTCCTGGGAAGAGGTGGCTGGCATCGGTGGGCCACCTGATCAAGCAGGGTCCCTGCCTGGGGTAAAGCTTGGGAGCCGACTCACCTGCTGCTGAGCGCTCTCACTTCTGCCCATCAGGAAGAGTCTGGGGGCCTTCAAGCCACTATGCGGCTGAGCTCCTCTGCTTTCTGGGCTCAGGAGTCCCTGGTGGCCCAGGAAGGGACAGGCTAGGAGACTTCTGGGGATATCTGTATGTTTGGGGGTTGGCGGGGGCCCACAGCCCCAGTGAAATTTATATTCATGAAGATTTGAGAGACATGGGTACCAGACAGCGGTTTACAAGGGGCATTCCCCATGTCCCGACTCCAGCTCCTGTTACCCCACTTCTCACCCTGGGCCTGGGCTTGGCCACACAGCACGTTTGGATGTGGTCCAAGTGACAAGGAAACAGTGAGGGTCAGAGTTTATTCATGGGTCATGCAGGGTGGGAGTGGGCCAGGGCCTCTGGAGACCCCTGGGACTCTGAGTTACCAGCTCTGTCAGTTCTGTGAGTCCCAGAAACTGGCCATCAACCCACCTTTTCCTGCCTGGCACCCCAACCAACAAAAGCACCGGTTGACATGCATTGAGGACCCGGAATGGCTTACACCGAATCTCACAGGAGGTCTAGGAGGAGGGACTGCTTCTGTCCCCATTTTATAGGTGAGGAAACTGAGACATAGAGCAGTGAAGCCCTTGGCCACGGAGCCACAGTCAGGAGTCTGGGTCCAGCCCTCCAGGTGTACCTGTGGCTCTGGGCTTCTCCGAGCTTGGTACACACAGGTTTCAAATGCTCACAGCCTGAACAGGATTGCAGACTCTGACTTGCACTGTCAGCAGCATGGGGGTTACAGGACTCAGTTTCAAATTCTGGCTCTGATGCTCAGTATTGTCCGGGAGACTCCTGGTGAGTTATAGCCCCTCTCTGGGCCTCGGTTTCCTCATCTGTAAAATGAACAGAGACATTTAGAGAACCACTGCCTAAGCCCCACCCTCCCCTCCTGCCCATAACAGAGCCTCAGGCATCTGGACAGCTACATTTCCCAGCCTCCCCTGCAGCAAGATGTGGCCATGTGACTCTCTTCTGGCCAGTAAGGTATATGCAGAAAGGTCCCAAGGCCTCCCAGGAGGACTTCTAAAAGATGCTGAGCCAGTGCTGGCCTCTATCTTTCCCTCTGAGTGAGGAGGTGAAGGCTGGAGCCCTGGCAGCCATCCTGTGCCATGAGGCAACCTTGAGGACAAAAGCCAGGGATGCTGTGAACTGAGAAAGAAATCAAATTGTATTGCTACTGTGGCCAGGCCTGGACTTATTCTCGAGTCCTTTTCAAGCTGCCTGACACCAGGTCTCTGTCCCTGATCACTGGGCTCACACCAGGGTGGAGTCCTTCCCTGAGCCACCCTGCCTGTGGCCCAGCATGCCACACATCTCATGGGTGTCTCCTTCCCAGTGTTCCCCACTGGTGGGCAGGGTCTGGTGCATGCAAGATGCAGTCAGACTGCTCCCCCAGACTGCCTCTGGGTCTGCAAGTGCTGTGGCAGTAACAGTAGGTCTGAAGGGGTCCCTAGGTTCTGAGTAGGATGAGTAGGGGGTTTGGTGGTGGGTACCCTGTTGGGACTGAGCCCTGGGGCTGGACATGGAGACTTCAGCAAGGTGGACAGGGTCGTCTTCAAAGTGCGGTGGGGATAGCTCATGGAGGCCATGGCGGGTGGCCTGGGAAGCCCGGAGCAGAGTGTGAGTCAATGCAGCCACAAGGACCAGAGCACCCAAGCCGAGGATGGAGGCAGCGGCCACTCCTGTCTCAATTTCAAAGAGCAGCAGGGCGTAGATGGACAGTGCTGGAGAAGGAAATGGCTCTCATTTATTCAATCAACAAATGCTCAAGCCCTGGGAGAGCTTCTGCAAAGAAAATATGGGAAACTGCACAACATGATAGGCATGTTGATTAACTCACCTAATCCTCTTATGCCCCACAAATACATCATTATCACGTCCATTTTGCCATAAAATGGTAAATTTTATGTGTACTTTACCACAATTAAAACAACCCAGATCTCAGGGTTTCTGAATGCCTGTGATTGATCTTGAGTGAATCACAGTCACTCTCTGGCATCAGTTTGCTGATCTGAACAACATGGTTGGTGCCCTCACTTTGAGGACCTGTACTGGTTCTCCATTGCTCTGTCCAGCATCCAGTGGGTACCATTCCTTATGGTGGGAACTTTGCTCTCTACTATAGGACATTTAACACCTTCTACCCACTAGTAGCAACTTCCCTCCCTCCCCCTGCCCTGTTGTAACAATCAAAAATGCCTCTAGATACTGCCAAATGTCCCTGGGGGGCAGAATCAGCCCCAGTTCAATCCCTACCTCCACTCTGATGCCACGGGGTGGATCAGTGCTTACAGACCAGTGACCAGAGTGGAGGTGATGGCACCAGGCTTGACCTGTCAGAGCACTGCTTTCCCTGGTTGTAGTGATTGGCGCAGGGATATCACGTGACCTGAGACCATCCAGTCAGAGTCAGCCCTGGGACTTTTGCTTGGGCTATGGGGATAGAGGAATTTTCTTACTGAAACAGCTGGTAAACCAGTAGGAGAAAATCCCAGAGCTGAGGCGGACTCCTTGGTACTTTGTGGATTGTTTATGTGCTTTCTCCGGTTCTGCACTCTTGCTTTTGAAGATACCACACGGCATCATGTTTGACATATTAAAGCCAAGGCCAAGGACTTTTTTTGTTTTGCTCTAAGCACTTTTGTAAAGGTCTTTATAATGATTCTTTGGCCCTGGTTAGCAATGAATGGATGATTGGCTTGATGTCCTCTGGAATTCTTGCTGAGTGAGGTCACCTATCCTCAAAATGAATCTAAATGGGAGCTGAATGAATTCTTAATTTAATGCTAATGAGGTTGACATAGTTACCTTATTTTGCCCTCTGTAAGTTTCCTTGTATTTTAGAATGAGAATATTTTATTCTCCAAGTCTCCAACATTTTTGTTGGCCTGTGAAAAGGCTTGGCGTTACAGACATTTTGTCAAAAGTACTTACAGGCATCTTTCTCAGAGGACAGCAGGTGAAGAGATGAAGTGAGAGGCATTTCCGATGCCCTCATTGGAGCACCTGGATGCAGCCACATCTGAGGCCAACAACCCCTGATCTTTCCAGATGCATGAGTCACCTCATCCACTGTCCTCTTTAAAAGACCCCCATCGGGATCACTTACTAACTCAAACAACAAAAGTTATGCAGGAATCCCTGCACTTTATTTATAAATTCCCACAATGAACCCTAGGCTCACATCTCATAAATATTTTAAATATATCTTCTAAACTTCTCTTTTTCTATTATACGACTAAGAAAACAACAGTAATAGCGAATCCCTTGTTTTTCATTCCAACTGAATATTTTTTTCCCAATAAAACCGGTTGTTTCAGAGGGCTGCTGAGATCTGTGTGATACAGCATTGAGGCTGCAGTACCATCAACACATTTTTCAGGATTAGAACAAAATTTAAAAGGTCAAGAGTCTCTTTAAATAAATTTGATGATTTGATTTCTTTACCAGCACATGTAGCTGAGAGAACGTCAATCTAAGAAAAGTTATTACAAGTCAGGGAAGGAAACACAGTGCAGTGCATTCTTCTGCTCCCAGGTTACTATTTTTTACTCTACTTCATGTTCTGGGATTTAAACCTGCATTTCTGGCTTATAACTTGCATTTTATCCCCGTAAGCCATTCTTGAGCTGGAGGTTCTGATATCTGTAACCGCAACAGTTTTTGCAAAGGCCAACCTGTGAAACACTATCTCCAGGAGCAGCCAGGCACATGGAAACTATCCTTCAAACCAAAAGTGGAATGTATCAGAAGCGTTCTAAAGACACCTGCCATTTATGGAACCCCCACTGAGTGAGATGCCATCCACTGGCTTTTATGGAGATTAACTCAGAATCCCCAAAGCGATTCTAAGAGACATGGACAGTTATCATCCCCACTGTACCAATGAAGAAACTGAGGCGCAGAAGGCACAGCAGTTATGGGGCCATTACCCCTGGCCACCCAACCCAGGGCCCTACTGGCGCGAGCCATGCTACTCGTGCGAGGAGGTTTCCTGAAAGTCAGGAAACCTCATAGCTGGTTCCTGCTACTCCCCACTTTTGCTTTTATTATTATCTTATTTATAAGTGGACTTATGTATGGGAACCTCATGCACAAAATAATAATTTGACCATCATAAAAAGGAACAACTCGACCCAGGGCTATGACCGGAACAATGGTTCCAAGAATGAGAGTAATATTGCAGGACAAACTGTCCCTGGCGTACGGCCACGAGTAAGTGAGGCAGAACCACCTGGGTTTCCCAGAAAACAAGACGTAGCTTGTCCTCCCTTTTGTAATAATACAAACATGACTAATGAGGAATTTTTCACTGAATTGGTTAAGAAAGAATTATGGGAACGTGGATCATGGAAGAACCCATTTTCCCCAGAAATTTATATGAAATAGCAAAGTAATAAAAAGATAAAATTAATAGTGCCCACTGTCCAAGGCCCTCCTCATATTGCTTACAATATAAGAGGACGCCTTTGGTATCTCCCTACAAGGGAAAAAAAATCTATGGGTAAGATAGGAAGATGGACATTCACAAATACCCCATGCACAGGAATTTATGATGAATACATAACAATACTATTACATTAATGGCAAAATAGTACATGCAGACTCTATGTCACTGTATGAAAGGATAAAGAGAAGTAGTAAACCATACTGCTTACAAACTAGAGAAGATGCAAAGGTTTAAAAATGTGGAATGATTATTATGATAGAATAAAATGTTCATACTCTATACAAAAATTAGATTCAGATTGTGAGGACCTAGACCCTAAGCTAAGATGGGGATGGATAACGTTTGGATGTAAGCAGAAACCTCAGAGCATGCGAACAGAAGTTTAATAGTTTTAACCATATAATCATACAGCTTGAACTTTATATAACCTAAGATATATGCATTGAACTTTATATAACCTCACATGCTTAAAAGCAAAAGCATAGCCCACACTCTGTCTCACGCCAGTTTTCTGTCTAGCATCTAGCACATAGTTCTCATGAATCACTAATCAAAGCAGCTTGAAAGAAAGTTGAAAATTAAATGTTAAGGTTCCTCTCTCTGAGGTCACCCGCACTTTCTAAGTGCATAACTTAAACTTTTTCCAACCTTTCAGGGCGCTCCTTTCTCTGAGGTCGCTTGTAGTTCTTTCTAAGTAACTTTAAATAAAACTGTTACTAAAAAAATAAATAAATAAAATGTTAAAAGGAAGCTGTTCAAGGAAATGATGATATTTGTTCATGTTTAAGGGCAATGAGCTGGAATTATGCAGAAACTGAAAGGAAAAAAAAAGATTGTATCATCGATGATCAAAGAAAGATATTTTGCTACATGTAGAATTAAAATGCTATAAAAATAAAGACCCTGCTGGCTTATGCTAGGAGACGTTTCACACTGACCCTGAGTCTTGTCTCCTCACTCGCCGGTGCTGTCCTTTCCTTCATCGCTCCCACCCAGGTGGGAGCTGGACTCCGACACCCTACACCTCAGGTTGTAGCCCCCAGTATGCACCTGCTAAGTAGACGGAGGCCCCACAGCAGAGGAGACCGAGGGCCACGTGTCTGAGGAGACGGCCATCGTAGAGAAACCAGTCAGACCTGGGAGGGGGGGTAGAAGGAAAAAGGCTTAGGGGAGGAGATGGTGGGGGGTGCTGGGGAGGAGAAGGCTCCCCATGACCCAGCTTGGGGACACCCCAGATCTGTGTAAGGACATGACTATCCATCTCCCCACCACTCATCCACCCTTCCAGGTAAACATCCACCATCATTTACTGTCTATCCCCATTGATTACTAACCACAGAGCTATCCATTCATATAACCATGCCCTACTAATCCATCCATCCATCCATTTAAACAGCCACCGTCTATCTATCCGTTAATCCTTCCATCCACTCATCCTTTCATCCTTCCCTCCATCCTTCCATCCATCCGTCCATCCATACCCCCATCCATTCACGCCCCCTCACCCATCCATTGTCCATCCCCCAATCACCATCCATCCATTCAACGCAACCAGCCATCTGTCCACACACCCATCCCTCATCCCATCCACCCCTCCCCCATAACCCATCAATACCAGTCCGTCCATTCAAACACCCAACACCCATGAAACAGCTACTATGTGCAGACAGTTGCTGGACACCTGCCTGTCATTATTTTACAGATCATAATCTTCCTTGGGAGATGAGGAAACCAGGTTTGCTTGCTGTCACTGATGAGAGAAACAGAGATTCCCTAAGAACTGACACTGGTCAAGGACCTGGCTTTGAGCCTGACACTGCGCCAAGGGCTTCTGCTGAGTGCTCTCGCTGCCTTCTCCAGTCCTGTGAGATCTTCCATGATCACTCACCTCCCACCAGTGCGGTGAAAGTGGCTTCCTCGGTGGCCCCCTACTCCCTGCCCTCTTGGCCCCTTTACTGCATGGTAGCCAGAGGTGGTTATCCCAAACCTCAGTCAGATCATATCCTTTCTTGCTCACAACTTTCTCAGGTGGAGTAAAACCCAAAGTCTTCACCACAGCACCAAGCCCTACATGGTCCAGTTCCTATGACTTCCCTGCCCTCATCTCCCCCTCCAGCCACACCAATCACCTCAATCTCCCTCTGATACCTCAATTGCTCTCCTGCCCCTGGACCTTTGCACATGCTGTTCCCTCTGCCTGTCAGCCCTGCAGATCTTCTGCATCTTTTCTCCATTAAGTCTGCCCAGGCCTCCCCTCATGGTCCCATTTCACCCCCCACCCTGTCCTCCTCCACCACATCACCCCATTTTCTTTCCCAGCATTCATCCCTATTTGATGTTACTGATCTCATTTCTTTATTGTCTGTGACTGCATGAAGTTGGGTCAGGGTCTGCCTGGTTCCTGCTGTGTCCGCCATGCCCAGTGCTGGGCTCAGCCTCCTTCAGGAGCCCAACGCATATTGTTGGCTCATGGAACACATGCATTTCAGTATACCTTAAACTAGGGATGGGGTGTGCACCGTTTGGATGGGATCTACTCCAATTGTGGAAGTTCCCACCTGCTCCACAGAACCCTGGACTAGGGGAAACACAGATATGAGGCAGCTGATTCTTTGGCTCGAGGAAGGGTTCTCCGCAGACACTGCACCCCTGACAGACGCCTCCTTGGTGCCCCCTGAGCTCAGGGGCCTGGTGAAGCAACCCCACCTGGGACAGAGCACAGGCTCTTCCACAGTCAAGTTCCAATTCAGCTCATCCACTTCCAAGCCGGGCAGCCTGGAGAGGGCGGCCTGGCCTGTCTGAGAACCAGTTAAAAAGGGGTATAACAGCAGAACCAGCCACCCAGGGGGCCGCAGGCCTTCACTCATCCACATGAAGTGGGAGGTAAGTAGAACTCAGGGTTCCATAAACGACCAGCGCGATCCCACGGTGGCTCGCTGATCCTGGGCTCTCCTACAGCCTCAGTTTCCAGATCTGTACAAGGGGGTCATAGCGTGGCTGCACCTGCTCTAAATTTTCAACTAATATAGGTTGGAAGAAGGGATAGAGGGGAGGAAGGGAGGGAAGGAGAAGGAGGGAGGGAAGCTTTCCCCGACCTGAGGCCCGGATGCGCAGCCTGGGGAGGAGCGTCGGGTCCTCCTACCTGCTGGGACTGGGACCCCGCGCCAGCTCAGCACCCAGGTGGCCGCAGAGCGCGGTGAGCAGCAGGCAAGTGAGGCCCAGCACTGGGGCGAGCGCAGCGAGAACAGCGGCCAGCGGCAGCAGGGCCCCGGCAGCATCCGTGGGCAGCCCGGGGCCGGTGCCCGGCTCTGGGCCCAGCCCGTCGGCGCGCGGTCCCCGCAGCTCCGCGCGGCCCGCCTGCAGCTGGAACAGCAGCTGCGCGCCCAGCGCCACCAGCACGGCCGCCGGGATGCCCAGCAGGATCATCGCGGCCAGCACCCGGCCGCCGTACGACCGGGCCATGGGGGGGCTCCTGCAGGCCTGGGGAGGCAGTCGAGGGGTCCAAGAGATTTTAGGGGGTAGGGGAGTTGGAGGGGCGTCCGAGGGCCTCCGGGATGGCAGGCTGTGTGTGAAAGTTATGGGGCTCAGGGTGCCCGTCGCAGCCGGGACGATGAAGCTCCGCGAAAACTGGGGACAAAGTCTTTTCTCTTCCGTCCGGGGACCTTGCGGGCGCCACCTCCCGGCCTCCCAGTCCCGGCGGGCCGGGGAAAGAAGGGGCGGAGGCAGCCCTAGGAGGAACCAGTGCGCGGTGGCCAGACCCAGGGAGCCCCGCAGGTCCCTAAACCCATTAAAGCGTCTCCTACCGTCCCCTACCCCGTTCCCCGCTGCCTGCTGCCCTAAGCACCTGTTTTACCATTGTTTTTAAAAAAAGAGACTTGAACGAATTTTAAATAATTCACTTTACTGTTTGGTCCCTACTCATGGCCCTTGTCCTTGGTTGTGAGTCCAGCCCGCTCACGTTTCAAGGGTTTGCAGAAATGCCTCCTCTTCAGTGAGACGCTCCTGGACAGCTGCTCCAACAGGCACCCCTGGCCTTCCTGCTAAGCTTTGTTTTTTCCTTGATACATTTTTTTGGGGGGGTTATTTATTTACATTTAAGTTTTAAAAATTGAGGTGTAATTCACATAATATGAACCGTTTAAAATGAACAATTCAGCCACATGTAGCACATTCACAATATTGTGCAAGCAGCACCTCTATCTAGTTCCAGAAGATTCCCATCAGCCCAAAAAGAGACCCTGTGCCCATAAGCAGTAACTCCCCTTCCCCCTCCCCCAGCCCCTGGCAACCACTGATCTGCTCTGTCTGTACGGATTTGCCTGTTTTGGACGATTCACATGAATGGAATCATGGACTATGTGGCTTTTTGTGTGTGTCTTCTCACTCAGCATGATGTTCTTGAGGTTGAAGCATGAATAAGGGCTTTATTCTTTTTTATGGCTGAGTAATATTCCATTGCACCAAGGAACCACATTTTATTTGTCCATTTGTCTGTTGAAGGGCATTTGGGTTGTTTCCACCGTTTGGTGATTGTGAATAGCGTGGCTGTGAACATGCACACACAATGATTTGTTTGAGTCCTTGTTTTCACTTCTTTTGGGTATGCCTAGGACTGGAATGGCTTGTCATACAATAAATCTATATTTAATTTATTGAGGAGCTGCCAGACTGTTTCCACAGCAGTTGCAACATTTTACATTCCCATCAGCAGTGCATGAGGGTTCCAATTTCATTTCCCTGCTAACTCTTGTTACTTTCTGTTTTTTTTCTTATAGTCATCCTGGTAGGTGTGAGGTAGTATCTCCTTGTGCTTTTGGTTTGCATTTCTGTAAAGGCTAATGATGCTGAGTATCTTTTTGTGTGCTTGTTGGCCATTTGTTTATCTTTCTTTTGGAGAAATGTCTATTCACCTGAGTCCTCTGTTTATTTTGGAACGGGTTCTTTTTCTTCTTGAGTCCCCAGAACACTGGTTCTGCAACACAGTATGTTTCCCCATATCTGTTGCCTCCCTGCTGGTGAGAAGCGGGGCTGCTCCAAGACCCCCAAACATCTGCCTCAAGTGTCACTGCTGTGTCCCCTTGGTGTCCGGGACTGCACCAAGCACACAGTAGGCCCACAATAACTGCTTCCTGCACACACAAATGAATTAATTACCTTGTACTCCTGCTCTGGAATTCTTGCAAAGTGTGAAATTAATCTTAAAATGGTTTCAAAGGTAACACACTCCTGATTGATCCAGAATATGAATGAATGAGGTCTATGTGGCCTCCTGCAAGGAGGGCCCTGTCTTAATGCAATTCAGGCCTGAAAGACAGCATAACCATCACTTGGCTTTAGATGAGGAAACTGAGGCAGAGAGGCGTGGTGATTCCCTAGGTCACACAGTAGCACAGGCAAGGCACGATTCCAACCCCACAGCCTGATTCCTGCCCACTGCTCTATCCTATGTCACAAATATGTTATAGATCCCACCGGTTTTCCATTTCCAGGCTCCTTTTCCAATTTTTGGAGTCCATTATTTTTTACAGGTTTCTATTTTTGGGGGGGCCTTCTGAGAAGAGTTTGTGGGCCTCGAACCCCCAGCCCAGTGCTTCATGGGTCAAATGGCTCTGGGGGAGAGTAGAGATGACCCTTCAGCCCCAGGGACCCTCCTCCTTTGCTGTGTGGCTTTGAGCAAGTCCCTTAATCTCTCTAGGCTTCCTCACCTGTAACAGGAAGCAGCTCATTTATTTATTTATTCATTCATTCACTCCTTAGGTGAACACTGTCTCTTTCATCATCACCAAGCTAGAGTGAATTTTCCATGTTTTACAGGTAAGGAAAAGTACCAAGTTGGGGTACCTCGGACTCAGTGACTCATTGGGAACAGAGCCCCAGCTCTGTTCCAGGTGTTGGGGATACACAGAGGTAAGATAACTTGCATGTATTCATTCAACAAGCACTGATGGGACCCCACCCTCCACTCAGCTTTGGGGAACCAGTGGTGATGACGTCAGGTCCAGCTTTGCCGGAAGCCAGACAAGTAAAGGGACAACTCCATACAACGGCCAAAGGGCATTACAGCACTCATTGTGACCATGTCTTAGATTTCACCATTATTTGTTGGGGGCTTGCAGGGTGTCACAAATATCAAGATCTGGCCCCTCCCTTTGTATGTGTCGGGTGACTGTGTGTCTGGTTTCAATCTGGAAACTTAATCCTACAAGCGTCTCTTAAGGCAATCCTCTGCGGGTGACTGAATCTGCTTTGGCCAGATGTTGAGCTGTCCCTTCCTTGCCACTGCCTAGAGAGGCAGGGCTGGAGATGGGTGGGGGGTTATGACCCCCATCTTCCTGGAAGGGTGAGACTCTGAGAGGACAGCCACTTGCCCATGTCACACAGCCAGACAGGATAGAGAGTGGACCTCCCCATCTCACCGCCCAGGTTGTGAACACTGACCATGGGGAGCTGGCCAGAATAACAGCAAAAATATAGAAAGTTTGCGTGTCCTGTGGTTTGCTCAGGAAGGACGTTTTCAAACTTTGTAAAGCTCCTGGTGAGCCAGCAACCTAGTAAAGTTAGGTACACAGAAATTTAAGGGTCTAATGCACCCATTTCACAGATGGGCCAAACTGAGTTCCACAAAGGGAACGCTGTGGCTGGAACCTAAAGCAGGCGGCATCACTGATCTGAACCACAATTTTCTCACCTGGATTGAGGACAGGGATGAGCACATTAGGCGCTTAGGTCCCCAGGCCTCTACGGCCGTAAGACTCTTGGCTTCCCAGCCCACCCTTTTAGGAAAGCAGGCGTACGGGGAGTGGTTTGCATTAGTTTTTATGTTTGGTCACACCTGCGGGGGATGCCACTCCATCCACCGCCAGGTGGAGCCCGAGGTTCGTGCGCAGAGCTGGCTCCTGTAGCGGTTTCTTGACTGATGTGCCTAGTAGGACGTGACAGTGTTGTCATTTTCAGAGGAATGAAAGATTTAGAAAGGAGAAGTGACTGTTCAACAGTCACACAGCCGGGAATTGGCTCTAAACTGGTGTTTTTTATTTCTATATTCTGCTGTCTCCACCAGAAATCCCGGGGATTCACCAGGGACAGGGGACTGCTGGCCCTCGCTGGCGGTCGGGGACTCCAGCACGCATCGCATTCGATATTGAAATGCGTCCCGTGCAAAAATACAAATCTGTTGTTAAAATATCGTTGCAATTTTGCGTATGAGATATGTGGGCAGCTCGTTTAATGATTATTCGATTTTCGTTTGCATTGTTCCGTTTTGGAACCATTAGCCACCCCACCTCCCCCAGGTCTTAAAAGAGATTTTCGATTTCTTTTCTAGAGACCCTTGAGAAGTTCTCCCTGCTTCACTGGTGCGGCCCTGAAGGCTCAGGCACGTAGCTGGAAGATGAGGACCGGCCCCGGGCCCACCCGTCCTGAGAGGGAGTCGCACAGCGAACACCTCGGGCACCCCTCTGCCCTCGGTCCCACCCTCCACCGGCGGAGATCTGGACAGGATTCCCCCAGGTTCGGCTCCCCACTTGCTCCTGGCGGGTGGGCCTCAGAAAGACCCTCCCTGCTCCCCACTGCCCCGCCTTTACGGCTGCTCCCTCGCTCCAGGGATCAGAACAGCCTCCTGGCCCTGCCATCCGCCCAGTCACCGGTCCCAGAACCGCCTCCTCCCCCTGGGCCTCCTGGGCCCCACGCGGTCCGGTCCACGCGGTACTTGCAGCGGCGCAGCGGCTCCGTGAGGCTCCGCGGCGGGGGTTCGTCCAGGTCCTCCGGCTGCAGGAAGCTGCGGTCCAGCACCTCGGCCGCCTCCTGCCAGTTGGCAAAGCAGGCAGGGCCCAGGCGCCGGATCTCTTCGGCCGCGTCGTGGGTGAGCACGTCCCCGCCCGGCTTGAGCACTACGACCGCTGGCAGGCGCTCCACCGAGAACCGGCGCCCGAGGTCCCTGCGGGGCGGATTGGTCAGTGCGGTTGGACCCCGGTCCGTGACTCCCAGGGAGCTCTGCCTGCCTCCTCCCGGGACTTACTGAGCCCCTCTGTGTGCACTGCCCACCCTAGCCAGGAGCTGGGACGCCCAGGGACCAGGACCAACCGGGCCACACTGGTCTCTGCGCTATGCCTCCTACACCTAGACACGCTCCCACCTCAGGGCCGTTGCACTAGCCATGTCTTCTGCCTGGAGCACTCTCCCCAGACCTCCATGGGCCTTATATGCTGCAGACGTCTAACTTTAAACCGCAGCATCTCCTTTTCCCCCTGCTATGCATCATCTCAGCTTCCAACACCCTGCATAGCTTATGTATTTCTCCTGTATATCATTTTCTCCCACAATAAAATGTAAAGCTTCACTTGGGCATACATTTCTGTGTCCATTTACTGGTGTCCCCAGTGCCTGGAATAGTATGGAGCACAGAACAGGTACTCATGAAATGTGTGAGATGAATGAATGTATACTGATAAATGCCTTAAAGTAGTATGAAGCTGGGTAAGGGGCTGGTGGTCAGGGAGGGCCTCCCCAAGGAGGTGACCTCTAAGCTGAGATCTGCAGGTTGAGGAGTGAAGTGTCCCAGGCAGAGAGCACAGCCTGTGCAAAGATGCCAATGTGGGAGGGAGCTCAGAGCCTTGATCCTGCAGGCCCTGCACCTGTAGGGTTATGGTTAGGAGTTTTAATTTTTCTCGCATATGAGGGGAAGCCATTGAGAAGCCATCCACAGTCCCAAGA